GATATATATTATAGTAGCAAAAAAGTTTCTGAGCATCGAGCTTTTAAATTTTGTTTAAAGGATATTGTCAAGACAATATGTTACTGATTGACTGTTGCAAAAAAAGGCGATTTTGTATAAGCAGTTTAGCGGTAAGGATAAATTCTAAAGATGTAAGAAGTAACATAAAAAGAGTATTATAAAACGACTTCTGTTGCATAGTTCTATGCAGAAAGCACTTCTTTTAGTTTTTAGAATCTTCAACTTTATAAGCAGTTGAATTTCATTCCTGTGTTGTAAAGACGCAGGAAGAAAGCAGAAGGTGACAAAAGCATTGAAACGCAAAATAAAAATTTGAACGATTACCGTCATTGAAAACTGCAAACTTTTGTCATTTGAAACTTGGTTTTACTACGTTAGAGATCTTGAGTTTAACAGAAATTTGATTGAAAAATTATTCTTTGAATAAAGAACAATTACGAAACTTTGTTATTTATCGCCGTGAAGCATTTGAAAAAATATTGCTAAACCAGAAGAGCAAAACGTACCGGAAAGACCTTTGACAGTGTCAACTGACTGAATGTTCAGTTTAACGTAAAACCATTTTTAGAAACACATCTGACATCAAAAAGTGCCAAAGGCTTCTTGAAACCACTGTTCTATGTTATTTTGCATGTTGCTTTATCGTTGTTGATGTTGCTGTTTTTTTTTTGAACCGAAAAGCAAAACACCAATTTGTAAGTGCCTTTTTTATAACAGGCAGAAAAAAAAAGTCTTGCTACGTGACAATACATTTCATAAGAACAATTTATGTCAATAATTTTATACTTTAAACAGGTCAAATAATGTTCTATTAAAGAATCAAAAGTTGTAAAAGAATACTTTTAATGATTGTTGTTAAAGTTAGCTTACCGAACTGCTTGCTATATTGTAGTAAAAAAAGGAGAAATAAGACAAAGAAATCAATTATTTTCAAATAATGAAAAAAAGAGAGTAGCATTGTATTCACTGTTTGAACTTTAATTCAAAAACGTTAGATAGTCGCCAGTGAAACAAAATGCAAATAGTTTTAATGATGAAAAGGTTATTCAATCAAAAAAATAAAAGTTATCAAGTATTATTTGATAAATGATTAAGAGAAAGCATAATTACGGTGAGCTTCTCTATCGTAGAAAGCTATTTGAACAACATTTTAAGTGGTAAATTCTTGAATTTTCAAAGCAGTAGCGTTTAATGTTGTTTGGGTGTTTGACCCAACTAACAAAAATCACTTGAAAATGGCAAATTTCTTTTTTGCTGCCTGCCCATATAATTTTTCTTGCACCAAACCGATACGTTGCTAAGCACAACAAATCGCCTACAACTGCATCATGCAGCAGCCACTTCATTGTTGTTGGTTCATCATTATCCGTATGATCCTATGAACAGATGCCGGTCATAATAACAGTGTTTTGCAGTTACAGATAACCACAAAAGGTTTGGCTGTGTTGGAGAAACGCAATTAATTATTCAAGGTTAATTTTTCTCTTTTCCAATTTTGTTTTTCACGTTAATTACCAAACCATAGTGATCAAATTAACAACAGATATGACAACTGTTTGTTTGATAATAGATGAGGGGTAAAAAGAGTATCAGTGAGACGTTGTGATAAATGCATAAGAACTGATAAACAATAATCGATCAACCAAAAAAAAAAAAAAAAAAAAAAAAAAAAAAAAA